GTTTCGTGGAATTGGTAATTTCACGACAAAATCGTTGGTTCTAGCTCATGCAGAAGCGAATATTCACTCGAATTATTTCCCCCGAGATCTCAAAAAGAATGAATACGAAAAGAATTTTGACTTTTGATGAAATACATTATTGACTAAAAAAAAAAAATACAAACTCTTCTTCGTGGTATTGGGCACTTGATATCCGGCTGATCGCCAAGATTTTTGTAGACCAAATAATTCTCACAACAAACAATCACACCACTTGGCCCATCCTGACCACCGGGAACTGCAATAAACTTGTATGATGGCTGAATCAACTAACAAATAATGCTGGAAAAATACAGTGTTGTGATATCCATCAGTCGATTACGGCTTAGCTTCAATTCTAATAAATCTTTTCTCGAAAACTCATGTACATCTGTTAAAAAAAAGTAAGTTATTCTCGAGAAATACTGACGAGATTCAGCCGCTGTGCTGAGTTAAGATGTATATGACTTAATGGATCGAAACGTCTTATCCCACTCTTATCTTCTTCTCTCATACTGTTCTATCATGCTGTAATCTATCGCGCCTTTGCCAGTAAGGCTTCTACGGTCAATCTGGTTGCTATAATCGGCTTATCAATGAACCAGGGGAATGAAAATTAGGGTCAACAACAGCAAGCTAACTACAGAAAGGGTGGGAATCCTGTCGCAGCGTTATGAAAAAGCTTTTAGCGTTAGTTTATCAGGCATTTTTGATCTAAATGGCACTTCCAGTTTTTCGTTAATTGTCAAAATTCGACTGTGCTCCTATCCACGGTGGGTCAACAACGCCAAACCAACTGTGTATGTCAACACATAGAAGACTTCAGGCCTTCGTCTCTTCCAATTTCCTAGCCAGGGATATTCATTGTTTGTATTTTTAGAATTCTGAAACACCCAGAAACGAAAAAATGCGGTAAAAACATACCCGAAATAAGAATGTTGCCTTTATCAGCTAACGGTTCGGCATATTTACGAACCACGTGATTCAGTCCAAGATCCAGTTCGTAGAATGTTAAAGTTTGAGGTACTTTTGTCAATAGATGTCCACTTGGATCGTGGTCAATTTCCTTCAAAATTTCAATTAAATCTTATGTAAATAAAGAAAAGAACCAAAAGAAATGAAAAGTATTTGAAAAAATAACTAATTATAACAAAATACTGCGAAAATCGCAAAAAAAAGCAAAGTAAAGCACAAGAAAAATGCCAATAAACTTAAAATCACTGAACAAAAATCGAAAATTTTTGTGAAGATTTTCCAACTTTTCCAGAAAGATGAAAAACAAAACATCAAAAAAAAACAAATTACAGTTATTAGAGGATTTATTGTTACTACGTGATCCAACACAAGATACAACAATCACGAAAAGGAGCCAATTATTACAAATTTAGCCATTTTTGTAAAGATTTTTGAAAATGGAAGAAAAAGAACTCCTCATCTTCATCATCTCTACATTTTTCGAATCCTAACGTGTTATCTATATGACTTAATGGATCGAAACGCCTTATCTCATTTTTGCCTCCTTTCCACATTTTTTCTTGGTTTATATCCACCCCCCGCTTTCGACATTTTGGCACTCACAGTCAACCTGGATGCTACAATCGGTTCACCAAAATACTGGCAACTGTTACATGTGCCCTAGGATACTCGGCTATCATCCAATTTTTTGCATATTTTTCCAATTTTTGTCGGCTTTTTGCTAGTTTCTACGATAAAAGCTGCTTCGATGGCTACGATAAAACGAATATCCATAAGAAATAATAGAAAAAATAAGAAAATTATTGCAAAAATCTTACTTCATAATCGACTTCCAAGCAAGCAAATGTGGGGTTTTCAAATCCAACATCTACACCAACAACACTGTAACAGATACAATGTGATTTATGTGCTTCCAGCGGTGAACTGATCGTCAAATTTGCTGCTGCATCACGATTCATTATGTAGACCAGTTTTTGCCGTTCAACTGCGCCTGGAAAAACAAAAAATTTCGAACGGATGATTTAAAACAGAGATTTAGCATGCGAATCTGGATTATCTGGATGTTAGTCTTCTGGTCCTGATATTCCTTTCGCTGCTCTCTTTCATTCGATTTTAAAATTTATGGGCTATGCCCGTTCCACATTTTCCATATGGACTATGGGCCGTTCCATATTTTCCATATGGACTATGCCCGTTCCATATTTTCCGCGGTTCCGACGGCCGTTTGCTTTGGAAATTACGGTTCGGCCTATCAAAGACCGCAAATTATTTATCAGTTTAACCCACTTCGGCTGCTCCGCTTGGACCATCCACCTACGATCCGGCTTTCTAATGGCTGCTACTTATCTTTTCACAGAGAGATATTGCATCCGCTCCGTCGTTTCTGTGGTTATTCATATTCCCAACAACAATCCATTGCTAATCCACAAGTGCCATCACTCCTACGGTTAATAGAACTTTCCAGTAGCACTGGGCTACGATTCAAATACAGAAATTAGTTATGGTATATAAAAACAGACAAAAAACTATATAAAGAAATCCGATGAACAGGGATTGTTGCATCATGACTCCCTCCTAGGTAGGTGGCATGTATAATGACGCAAAGCTGCCTATATAAGGTTGCTGTTTCTGTGCTAAAACAGTGATGTGTTGTGTTGTGCTGACGGTCCCGACGATCAACGAAGGACATGGACTCTCCTAGCCCGAACCCCATCACCAAGGAGTCGACGACCCAGCCAACGATCCCAGGAAGCGCCGGAGTACCGGGCCAGCGGACGATATCTCCAAGGTCCCAGTCCAGTAGGATGTTTCGGTCCAAAGCCACACTTGGCAAAAAGTACATGTCCCATCGTGGTTCGTAGTTTTACTTCAAAAAATAACGACCAAAGTGCCAAGGATAATCAAAAAAAAAAAAAAAAAAACCAACCAATAAGAATAGCACGGCCTTTTGGATCAACAGCCAAATATTGGCCAGGAATGATTCGTCGACAGCCTGTTTTACCAAATGTTTCCTGATGAACACGCTCGAAACAGACTTTCTGAGGATTGTATTCCAGAATCACAATACGTCCAGCATCCGAACCGATCACAATGTAATCTAAAAATCACTCGCCTCCTTGTATATTCACCATGTACGAAATAGGTGAATCCAGGGAGGAAGGAAATCAATGGGTTTTTTACTCCCTCCTCCCCTCTTCCCACAGCGGCACAAGCATCGGTACTGCAAAAGCCCGGTTCTAAAACTAAAGTAAACTAAAGTCTAAAGTAACTCTAAGTAGCTGTGTGTTACAACTCGATTCCCAGTTTTTGCATAGTTCCAGGGTGGGAGAGGGTTTTCTTCTCCCCAACCCCCTCCGCCTTCCTCAGCAGCCCCACTCTTCCCCCTCCCGCGGTCGTTCC